ACTTTGACTCAAAAACAAACAAACAAATTAATAATGCCAAGTTTCCCCTGTATCCTTTACCCATTTCCTCCCAATGGTAACATCCTGTGAAACTATAATACAATATCACAAGGACATTGACATTTACACAGTCGAGGTACAGAACCTCTCTGTCATCACAAAGATTCCTCATGTTGAGCCTAGGCTTCTTCTAAGCAGAGAGGACTTCACTACAGAGCATTAAGGGCTGAAGGAGGGTCACTAGACTGGGCCTCCAGTAGCAGTTCACCAGTCAGGAACTATTACTTCTGCCACCATCAGGAAGACAAGGAATCAAGAGGCCACTATGGGAATTACTGCATTCAAGAGTGCACCTTGGCTTAGAAGCTGGTTCCCAGGCACTGGGATGCTGGGTTAGGCTGTCACTACCACACTGATGCTTCTGAATACTCATGAAGTGGCGCCTGCCACCATGCACTGCTGCAAGCCCCTCCATTAGTACGTCCCTGCTTGTCATCAGATGATCAGCCAAAAGCGGGATCAGGGCTACTGCCTCACATCCACCTTCCAGATCCCACTGACTGGCAGAACCTATCCATAGCTGGGATTCTTTTCTTTTTTGAGTCAGAGTCTCACTCTGTCGCCCAGACTGGAGCGCAGTGGCACGCTCCTGGCTACCGCAGCCTCGACCTGCTGGGCTCCGGCGATCCATCCTCCTCAGTCTTCCAAGTAGCTGGAACTACAGGCACGCGCTACCATGCCTGGCTAATTCTTTTTTGATTTATTGTAGAGACAAGGTCTCACCAAATTGCCCGGGTGGGTCTCGAACCCACAGGCTCAAGCAATCCACTCACCTTGGCCTCCCAAAGTGCTGGGATTACAGGCTGAGCCACCAAGTCCGGCCATAGCTGGGATTCTAACTGCAACTTGGTCTGGGAAATATGTTTTAGCTTTTCAGTTAGTTTGTTTGTGTATTTATTTGTTTATTTATTTTGAGTTGGAGTCTCACTCTGTTTCCCAGGCTGGAGTGCAGTGGCACGCTTATGGCCACCCCAGCGCTGACTTGCTGGGCTCTGGGTGATTCCTCCACTTCAGCCTTCCAAGTAGCCGGAACTACAGACACAGGCCACCACACCTGGCTTATTTTTTATTGTAGAGTGAGGTCTCGCCAAGTTGCCAGGCTGGTCTTCAACTTGTGGGCTCAAGGCAATACTCTCACCTGGGCCTCCCAAAGTGCTGGGATTATAGGTGTGAACCACTGTGCCCGGCCTATTGGTTTATTTCTATTTAATAAAATTTTTTTTTTAGAGATCTAGGGTCTGCTAGCTCAGCCTCTCAAGAGGAGCCACTGTGGCCATTTTATAGAGCCTGTGCACTAGAATGTTTTTGTATACTAAGAAGATCTTTTAGCTGGGCTCGGTAGCTCAGCCTGTAATCCCGCGCTTTGGGAGGCTGAAGTGAGTGGATTGCCTAAGCCGGCAGGTTCGAGACCCTCCTGGGCAACTTGGCGAGACCTCATCTCTACAATAAATCAAAAAATTAGCCTGGCTTGGTGGCTCAGCCTGTAATCCCGGGCTTTTGGGAGGCTGAGGTGAGTGGATTGCCTGAGTCCGCGGGTTCGAGACCCGCCTGGGCAACAAGACCTCATCTC